TGTTCCTGCATGGCAATACCCCACTCTTATTCTGAGTTAGAACAATCATTCTCATGGTGATTATTGATATCAGTTCAGGAACGGGATAGTGTAGTAATTCGAATCAGAAACCATTAACGGTTTTATGATTATTTTTACATTGATATGTGAGGACATAGACAKGATCTTTTGGTGTGGTAAGCGACTAGTCTCTTTTCCATGCAAGATATAAAAMTGATAACACGTGATACGGTAATGACRATAACAAGCAGGGCAAGAAAGTAAAGTCAGCAAAAAAGGAATAGATATTTAATTTTGTGAGCTCCGGCTTAGTYGAAAACACCGAGAACCACACATCTTACTATTCCGTCATATTTTAGAGATCACGTGACAGTCATGTGACATTTTACCGCTTAAATATGTAGCAGTTTAATTGAAGGTTATTTTTGGTGGCCGATTTCTTTCGTATTCACGAAGAAATAGCATTATAAACTGTGTTGAAGCGTGTAGCCATCCCCTTAACTCGAAACCTATACCACAATTCAACTCTACGAGCTACCTTAGAATTGATCAGGAGGTCATTCGCTACCAGAAACAAGTGTCAAACCTTTTCTGTGGCGATGGTTGAACGAAAGTCCCATTTTCGGGTCTCTGCTCCCTGACTATTGGCTGAGGGATACTTCTTGCGAGTCGCAAAATGAAATGATACTTACTCTTATAAAGACCGAGTTCAATTCCAGGTTTTTTTTATAAGCATATGTTAGTACCAGTAAAGTTTTAGTCAGTGAATTAAAGTAGGGACGATTTTCATACTAGTATTTCCCAAAACTGGCAAATAAAGTTTTAGTCAGTGGATCGAGGACTTTCCATGTCACCATTGGATACCACGTACGCAGCTTATGCTCGCAAATAATCCAATGAAAATCCACCTACAGCACTCCTTCCCTTTCTACATAAACACTGACCCGTCTCCTGTCGCCTCTCTAATATACTGTCAGTACGTTTGCGCTGGGGACGAGAAAAACATAAACACATGTTAATAAGTGATAACTAGCTAAAAACTAGTGTGAGCTGCGTCGGTGTTTCTAACTAAACAGTAATGATAAAAGGGTTAAATTATACACCGTAAAAAGATGAAAAAACTTACTGACGTTTCGGACGCTAGTCCTTCGTCGGAGTAAGAGGAAAAAGAGCCTTTTTTACTTCGACGAAGGAATAGCGTCTGAAACGTCAATAGGTTTTTTCATTTTTGTGTCTACTGCCATCGAGATTACACACATGTACTTCATGTCCTATTTGACTAGCGAAAAATATAGTAMTATATGACATTCGATATAACTGACATAAAGTTTATCCCGGTATAAGGGTTGTAAAACTTGCACAGCTAGCGGCGCATGGCGAGGATAGCCGACGTTATCCGAAGTCCCGCGTACTGGCTGGTCAACTTGGCTGCTCTGGTTTGCGACTACTTATGACTTTTTATCGACTGGGAAACGTTTGACCAACGTATCAAACCATGATTCGGTAGGATTCAGTGATTTCTACAAGGTGAATCGCAGCCATTAGTTTTGTAGTGAATTTTATTTTTTTATTTTATTTCATTTTTGTTTTTTTTTTATTTTTGTTTTTTTGGAACAAGCTAGGCACACAGGTTTTATGGAATGTGTCAAGTGTTGTTTAATTAAAGGTTTTACAGGKATTTCCAATATCTAGAAAGAATTTATTGCAAAAAACGACCACTGAATTGGCGTGTTTGTGCTACACGAAGCATGTTAACAATGTCGCTTCATGAACGATTGTTACAGAAACGATGCGATGTGAAACTGACTCAGATTGTTTTAATACAAAGAAAATATTTGAGCCCTTTAAAGGRATAACTGAGCTTCGTAAGCAGAATATTAAGCCCCGAGTACCTACAAGTGAATATTCTACATATACATGATTCAAAAATGTTGCCGTGTATCTRTCGGCAGTAGACACATSTACTCATCGAGTACGTATTTTTTCATTTTTTCACGGTGTTAAATTTACCCTTTTATCATCAAACACATTATATTGGGCTCCCTGTGGTCTAGCCATCTCACCTTGGTGATTGTGATTGATAGTTCGCTTGGTTCTTAATTTTTGCAAATATCTTGTGATTTTGCGTCGATTTTCCTTCACAAAGAGATTGTTTTCTGGTCAACTGATACGTCAGGTGAGTCAGTGATGATGTATTGCGTTGTTTAGTGAGTATTTAGCGCCGTTCGTAGGATTATTAAAAGTGCTGATGACTCGAGTCATTTGGAAACGACGCCTTCACGAAATAATCTGTAAAAACAACGAAACGAAGATCAATA